GCTTGGTCTTTGGAGCCTCCCCGAAATGTACCACACCCCTCTGCAGGCACTGACACATCCTGCTTAACTATTTAATCTGCACTGTGTAATAACGTTCCAGCATGCATCATCACTGACCGAGACACTGAGATGATCCCAGACTGAGCCTTAAACTGAACATGGAAGTACACCTGTGACTGTATGTGTGTGTACTGTACAAGTGAACCAAATTGTCTACAGTGTGTGTGTGTATGACATGCTAGAGTCTGTGTGCTCACTATGTGGGACCAGTTTCTACAGGCTAAGTTAAACATTCACCTCCAGAGTGTGTGATGCGTTGTCACCTGAACACACAGACTCTGTCATATCCATTCATCCACTGTGAGATGAGTAAACAAAAGTCTGGTGTGTCAACAGACCTACTTTAGCTCATTCCAACAGTACAAAAAATAAAATATGTATTAGAAGCAAGGTTGGTTTGTCTAAACGTGCTTTATGAGACTTTGTTATACTCTATTAACTCCTTCAAATAAGTCAAGTAGACATTTAGGTACTGCATATGCTAAAGAAACATGTCATAGTGTAAATATCACATTTTAATTAAATAAAAGTCCCTTAAGTAAGAGCTTAACTCTTCTGTGGCTGTTCCATTTTATTTGAATGTTAAACTGCTTATAAACTAGCTAAAAAATAAGGGTTACAGAAGAATATTTTAAATTCCCAGAGTATGTCCTGGGCAACTGTATACAGGAGCTGATCTCTTCTACTTATTGTTAATAAAACTGCCTTCTGTGCACAGAAAAGAAAAAACAAATATTGCAACACTGCCTTGATTTAGAAGAAAACTGCTAAACAACTGTATAAAAATGTCTTGTTACAAATCTCTCAGTTGAACTGACAAATGCAACTGATTATCACACAACCACACCCTTCCTCTAAACCAGATTTCTGAGCTGTGGAGGTGAGATTTACAGCTGAAGTGCACCATCTAGTGCTAGTCAGTGCAAAACCAAAGGAGACAGAGCATCATTTCTGTGTGGGAGTCACAAGTGAGTCATCGCACCGCCCCTGAGGAAGTAACAACAATTGTGAAACATAAGAGTTAAAACTGCTCATGTACCAACCTTTCTTTTGCTGAATGAGAATTTGACATGAACTTTCTCAGTTATTTTGTTATCTATCAAACAGCATGTGGCTATTTAATACACACGTACCGTATACAAACACACGCACACTGTAGCCGACGTGTAATGACACAAAGAGCTGCACAGCTTGTCTGTGTGAGTGACTGGAGAATCTTATGGAGTGAGCAGGAAAACAAGAAGCACACTGGAGTCATTCTTCTTCTTTTTTCAGCAGATAGTTTGTGCCCACTGCTCCTTCTGCCAACTGTTCTGTTTCAAACCCTGAAACCAAGTGGGTGTGGAGAGCTGACAGGAGGTGGTGAGACCCTGCTTGCTCAGGATTGGTCTGAGAGTGGTAACTGCTCTGCAACTTGGGGATTTTTTTTTTCCCTTAGCTTGTCTGCAACTCTAAGTTCACTGACACCATAACTTGTGCTGTTTTATATCAATATATAACTAAATACCAGTTTCCCACCCAAAAACTAAACATGCTGATGGGGCTACACAGTTTGCTCTTGCAGGGAGGGCTTGTGGTCTGCATGAACGTCTGTTTCCTGGGATTTAACTAAGAATATCTTTAAATTGGAACATTTTGCATTGTAAATAACACTGGCATTCAATAAATAAAACTCATTCTACTCTGGACCAGCAAGGAACTCTCAGTAAAGTGTTGCAACGCAGAGGGTTCGTGCTCCTCTTACCGAACTAAATATTCAGTGTCTGCAAACAGTGTATCAGTAATGTGCACAGTCATTTGTCTTGCACAGAGAATGACTGTCAACTATACCATTAAACATTGTTAAAAATATAATTTAACTAATATAAACATATCATTTGCAACCGCTGGCTGTTTTGCATGTACTCCCTGTGCCTGCGTGGGTTGTCTCCGGGTACTCCGGCTTCCTCCCACAGTCCTAAGATATGCAGCTTAGGTTGACTGGAAATTCTAAATTGCCCCTAGGAGTGAATGTGAGTGTGTGTGGTTGTTTGTCTACATGTCAGCCCAGTGATAAATTGGTGGCCTGTCCAGGGTGTACCCCGCCTCTCTCCCAGTGCCAGCTGGGATTGGCTCCAGCCCTCCCCCCACGACCCTATTCACAAATAAGCGGTATAGATAATGGATGGATGGAGGTGTGTACACTTGTATTCAATGTTAAAAAACAACATAAAAAGCAGAGTGAATACTTTTTGTAGGTACTGAATGTCCCTTGACACTAAATTTGGTGTCCCAATGTCCTTGTACTGGTCTAAGTCAGTGTGTGTTTCCTCCCTAGTGTCTCCCAGACAAAGCCCAGAGCATTTAACTTTTTGAGTTTTTGTACTTTATTCTGATTTAATCCACCGCTTAGCTGAGCTACAAGTTCAGCTTAATTCAGTGTGCAACAAAATATGAACAGTCTGGTAAAGCTACACTGTTTAAACATGAGTACATAAGGACTTGCTACAACAGACATGACTCTTACCACATGCAAATAAACTATCATGTCCTTTATATTAAAAAAAAAATTCCCAGGGTGTCGGTGTCACATGTAGCAGGCAGAGCAACATTTTTGTACTGAGTGTTTGAGAGAACAAATGATCTTTATTACAGTGGCCTGATATGTTGGTGAAATCCTGTCTGAAACAGAGAAAGTGGTTTCCCAAGTCAATCACACATATCATGTTATCGTATTACTGGAGGACTGTTGGGCCTGTAGGGCTCTGGGGAGTGGAGGCTGGAGCTGTAGAGCCCTGAGCAAATGAATATACAATGCAAACATTATTGAAATGAGATTTATGTGATGCGGTAAATCGGAAACCAGATTTACCCTTTGGTGCAAGCTGTCTTATGAGAAATTGCTTTCTGCTGCATGTGTTTGCAATGTTTTTAACCATCTGATAGTCAAAACCAATATTTTATAATTGATTTTACTCCTACAATTCAGTTTTTGTACTTTGCTTTTCTATATTTATAACTTAGGCTGTCTATCCTCCATTGAAAACTACAAAACAGCATCAAATTTAACTGATCTAAGAGCTTCTAACAGACACCATCCCACAGAAATAATTTTACAACTTGACACCTGTCACTGGAATTAAATGTGTGGTACGTGCCTCTAAAATAATTTTTCACATGATATTATATTTTTAAAAAATAACTGACTGACATTGTTCATACACAATCAAACCATCAGATACCTTTGTTTCAGACTTTATCCTTCGCAGTGGTACATCTGACTGCAGAGCTCATAAAATGATGTCTGAGGAAGCCTCGCTATGTGTGCAAAAGGTGGTAAGTATTATTAAAGCCTGTTTCACAATGTTTCCTAATGTTACAGTGGAAGCATGTGACAATGGTGAGCGCAGTTTCACCAGTGAAACAAGCGTAGAGCATCGAAAACCTACCAGACTCCTCTTGAAAGGAAATTCTGCAGAGTTTGGCAACAAAACCATCTAAAGAAAAGTAATAGTGAGTAGTGTGAGAATTAGTCAGTTTGTTTAATTGTCAGTTTCACTCTCATGCTCCATCCTATCAGATAATCAGACATTTGTTTCTTTTTGTTAAGAATGAATGATAATTACTATACATGTAAGAGAAGTGTTATGTCTGCAGTCTAAAACTCTGTAATATCATCTCTGCTAATAGACACCAGCCCAGCTTCAAAGAGGTCTATAGCAGACATATATAATTCTGTAGGCACTGCCAGTTAAACACGTTCTGTTTTGGGAGTATTAAGTGTAAGATAAGCACCATTACGTTTACAAAAGTATTGAGGCGCTTTACTATGGCACTCCAGATTGTGGTCAAGTGAATCCTGCTTGCTTTAACTTTCTTTGCGTCCACCTGCGGTAAACTAAACTGACCGGACACACTTTAGAAAGGCACACACCTCTGTTTATAAAGTCCCATAATTCCCTCTGCATGTCAAGACAAAAACCAACCCATGAAATCCAGGAACTCTGTGCAGACCTCTGTGATAAAACAGTGGCAAGACATAGATCAGGGCAAGGGTATTAAACCATTTCTGAAGCTCTGAGTGTTCCCAGGAGCACAGTTGCCTCAATCATTGTGTAATGGAAAAAGTTTGGAACCACCAGGACTCTAGCTGGCCGTCAAACTGAGTAGAAACCAGGGAGGTGACCTAGAATCCAACAGTCACTCTAACAGAGCTTCATGGTAGAGCGGCTAGATGGAGGCCACAGCCAGCAAAAGACATATTGCTTGGAGTTTGTCAGAGGACTCTGATGAGACAAACTCTATGGGCAGAACATGTTTTAAAAACATGTTTGGAATTTTTACTAATTTAAAACTACATTTACATCTAAGTGTGCAAAAATAGAAATACTCTCTGAAGCTGCTGTATAACTAAGCAGCATATTTCTAGATTTTTCAGGTTGCTTGTTATTTAGATCCGTTTTTGTTCAGTGTGGGCACAAAGTAAAGTGAAAAAGTGCTTAGGTTGGATGAAGCTGGTAATGAAATATTCTTCAGTTTGTGCTGAGCTTTTTCTATTTGGCATGACAGATGAATGTAGATTACAGTACCTTTACACACAAGAACTTTGCCTTAGCTCAAATTTTGTTAAAGCATTAGCATCACAATATGAATGCACTTTATGTTTCAGTTAAGTTTATATCTGATATGTTTAGACACATGGATGAAAACGTTATGCTTACATTCCTTTTTCTCTAATTATATAAATACTAATTAACAATTTTAACATTCTGGCTACAAGTTTATGTGATAGAAATACTTAGCTTACTTAAAAGTGCTTTGCCTCCAACCCTTGGTCCCATTTTCACTGGGGTGAAAAGTTTGCTGCTATGTGCCACTTCTCTGAGCCATTAGGCTGCGTCACATAAAGTTCAAACTTCACATGTTTGTTTCTCTAAATCTGCTTTCCAGCAGCCAAACAAGGACGGCTGTAATTACAAAGTAAAGGTCCAGGACTGCAGAAAGATTAGGGGAGTATTCAAGAAATCCCCTCTCACTGAGGAAAATGTGGAATCACGAGTCCGACCTGAAACAGGAGGATGAACTGCTGCCCACCAGTCACCACACCCGTGTCAATGGAGAGATTGCATAGTGGGGGGGGTAGCTTGTCAGCCACATTCTTCTCTTTCAGCTATCCCTTCCTAACCCATCCCACTTTGCTGTGTGTGGCAGCTATATAACCAAGGGTGGCAAAGTGATGCCTTTAACTGCAGATCAGCTCCAGTGAACCTACCTGAAACCATATCCAACACGTCCTTCAGCACCAGATCCTACAGCCAGAAGACCATGAGTGTCTACGGTGGAGCAGGAGGTCATGGCACCCGCATCTCCTCATCCCAAATGAGCCATGCACCATTCTCCAAAGGCTTTGACCTGGCCAACGGCCTGGACCTGCATGTTGGAGGCAATGAGAAAGCCACCATGCAGAACCTGAACGACCGTCTAGCGTCATACCTGGAGAAGGTGCGCACCCTGGAGAAGGAGAACGAGCACCTGGACAAGCAGATCAGAGAGTGGTACCAGAACCGAACTGTCATCTCCCATGACTACACCAAGTATTTCACCATCATCGATGACTTGAGGGAAAAGGTAAGGAGACAGACACGGGTGTGTCTCCGAGTATTCTGTTATATTCCTCTTCTCATCTTTCTGAGGTTAACATTCATTGTGGGTAAGGTTAGGTATCTGCTGGCGTGTCCTGTTTGTTGTTCAGACAGATGAAAAACCATTTACTGGGTTTGGTTGATGTGCTGTCTCTTATCAGGAGGCATATCAAGGAAGGAGGTGACTTCATGACTGTCAAACCTCCATCCTGAGCGCAATCATTAGTTCTTTTCTTTAAGAATCAAAATGTTAAGCATTTCTTTTTTTTTTAAGTGAACATTTAATGTCAAACAACCATTTAAAATCTGAAATATCAGTGTTGGTCTCAAGAAGCTCATATTGCCATGGGCGTTGATGAAAATGATAATGATAATCACTTTTGTTGTATTTTACACATACAAGGAATTCATCTCCGGTACAGAACCGAGGCAGCCATCCGCCTGCTGTGCATAATAAACTGTATGAAACATGAGCTCGACAGTACAGTTTCTTACGTGTTTTGGTTTTCCTCCTCAGATTAGTGTGGCCTCCAGACTCAATGCAAAGACAGTCCTGGACACTGACAACACAAAGCTAGCTGCTGTTGATTTCAAAGTGAAGTGAGTATACTCTGTGTTTATGCCCCTGTCCTTCTCTGATATGCCACGTAAATGAAATTCAAAACGTGAACTCATCTCTAACTGACAACTTCTAGTCTTTATGGCCCACTGAAACCTCTCTGACCTGTCCTGTCCGTCTTCCTCTGTAATGCCCCTTCAGGTATGAGAATGAGCTGGCCATGAGGTTGGCTGTGGAGGCAGACATCACAGGACTGAAGAAGGTGCTGGATGGTATGAACACGGCCAGGATGCATCTGGAGAGTCAGGGTGAGGCCCTGAAGGAGGAGCTCATTATGCTCAAGAGGAATTATGAAGAGGTGAGACTGGGGACAGCTAGTAGTGGTGCACCTGTTATAACCAGTTCAGGGTTTGTTGGTGGTGATTTTGCAAGCAGCAAAACTGGTGAGTTTACATCTGTCAACACCCAGATGCATTCCTACACACAGGCAACACCCATGATGTGTTTACACATGATCTGAAAGTATGTTACACTACACTGTCGATAAAGTAAACAATGTTCGTTATCATCCATCTTTTAAGCCACAGGGAGCCTGACATACCTGTACAACTGTTTTACAGGACAAAGTTTGCACCGTTTGACATAAACTGGTCTAAACTGGTCAGAAACTTGTCACACACATGACCTCTGATAACACAGAGGAAATACCATGTTAGGCTAATGTTTATATAAACAGGTCCTGTCACCTTCTCCATTTTCCCAGTGCTGTGTCTTTTCTCTCTGCACACTTCCTCATATTCTTCTCTCCCTGTATCAGCTCATTGCTACTGTTTTGTTTAACACACACATACACACACAACCAAATGCTGACATGCATATACTTCAAGAAGAGTTCATTAGCTAGTCTTGTTGTAATTCTCAAAAGCACTCAATTTATTTAGTTATAGCACTGGCTGATTGAGGTGTTGCACTGTGACCCCTGCAGGAAATAGCTCTGCTGAGAAGTCAGATGGGTGGCCAGGTCAACGTGTCTGTGGATGCTTCTCCCTCTACAGACCTGAACCAGGTCATGACAGAAATCAGGAAACACTACGAGGGTGTGATCACCAAGAACCGCAAGGAACTTGAGTCATGGTATCAGAGCAAGGTGAGAGGTTACAACCATTGTTACCACTTAAATGAGTTTTAAACAGTTAATGGGAGCAATAATCTGCTGTCATTTATATGTAATTTTGTGTGTGCTTAGATTGCAGCGGTGGAGCAGGAGGTGATCACAAGCACAGAGAGTCTGGTGACATCTCGCACAGAGGTTAAAGACCTAAAGAGCACCCTCCAGAGGCTCCAGATTGAACTGCAGTCCCATATGAGCATGGTATGTCAACATCAGAATCAGAATCAAAATCAACATACAGTATATTCATAAAAACTTTAATTATCTATTGGTTTTGATACTGTCAGGCTATATTTCCAGACTTCACATTGTAACAACACTGTCAATTTAAAGGTAGGTTCACAGAAAGTGTAGGTTTAAAGAAAGACTTTAAGATTTTGGGAAATGCACTTATTCACCTTCTTGCCAAGAGCTGGATGAGAAGACTGATAGACTCACAGAGACAGCAAGACTCCTTGAAGTCACTGGGCTTGGCCAAGAGATACATGCATACACGCTCCCCGGCCCCAAATAAAAAACATTTATTTTAGTTTTTGTACAAATTGAGTGAGCAATTAGTTAACTTTAGAGGTGCTGAGAAGCAGAGTTGTTGTTACCTTCAGACTGATCCAGACTAGCTGTTTCCAGTCCTTATGCTAAGATAAATGCACTTGCTGCTAGCAGTAGCATGAGTGCTATGAGTCTACATGTCATCAGTTTACCCAAATATGCAGAAGTACATCATGTTGTTTACTCATTCACACTAACTGCCTTTTGGCTGACATGCTCACTGTTTTATCAGCATCACCTAAAATTCATGCTACCTAATAACTTTATCCTCCAACCCCAACAGAAAGCATCTCTGGAGGGCACCCTGGCAGAGACTCAGGCACGCTACACCACACAGCTAGCAAGCCTCCAGAGCATGGTCACAAGCCTGGAGGCTCAGCTGTCCCAGATCCACGCCAACATCGCCAGCAACAAGCAGGAGTACGACATACTGCTGGACCTCAAGACCCGGCTGGAGCTGGAGATTGCAGAGTACAGGAGGTTGCTGGATGGGGAGGAGGAGAGGTGAGACCTGATGAGGAGTGGGAAACACTGAATGGACAGGGGGGATAAGAGATTTAAAAGAAGAAAATCCACTTAAATGTTTGATGGAACTGCAGATTTGTATGCTGTGTGCTGCAATGCATAGAAAAGCACTATACAAGTATAAGACCACTTATCATTATCATTTAGACTAACATTTTCTTTCTCACTCCCCAACCCTTCTCTTTCCAACAGCTCAAAACAAGGTATGCAATTTTCACATACACTGCATTGTAATTTTATCATTAAAGTGCTTGGTCTAACAAATGTCACAAGATCTGGTCATGATTGTTGTTTCTTCTTTGTTTTCAGTGATCAAAAAGGTTATCACAGTGGTGGAGACAGTTGTGGATGGAAGGGTGGTCCAGAGCAACAAGACAGTTGATGTGAATCAAACTCAAACTCAGTGAATAACTGGATAAGCAAACATTAATAAAGATTGTGCAGTTGAATTAAGGTTTCCTGTCTGGTTTACTTCACTGATGGATAATGTTGTTTTCACATACGGTTGCTAGTAGCTTACTCAACCCATTTCATATAACCATGTATTCTTTAACTTAACCCCAGACTGAATGTTTCAGTGCCATCTCTGGCTGAAGGCTTCCAGCCTGTTACACCTCTAACCACACCAGCAGCGATGCTGGGTTAAGTGTGGGTGTGGTAATAACAATTACCTGTCACATTTGATTTTTGTTACCACCTAACTTGGATGCCAACCAAGTCAATCAAACATTTAGCTTCTAAAGACCCTGATACCGTATTTTCCCCAGGAGGTTGTAGACACCACAACAGAGCTAAAAGGTTGATTAATAGAAAACTGTCACAAATAAAGTGAATATATGGCTCCAGTCCAATGACACATAATCTCAGTCTATTTCTGCTGGATGCAAAGGCATTATTTGCTAGCACATCTATAACTAGTACTGTATTAGAACTACACGTCTAAGCTAATATTAGTTTTCCTCTGCCCTGTGGACATGCAGCATTAAGAAAGCTTGATAAGGTGTGGCAAGTCAGCTCTCAGCAGCCAATTGCAAAACTGTAAGTAAAAAAAAAAAAAAAAAAAATTCCCTTCTGCCCAAAAAAAAATTTTTCCCCATAGAGAGAGACATCAGTAAAATACTGACAAGACACCTGGAACTGCAGACCGGGCCAATTCCTTCTCTTTCCGTTCAGACTTGTAAAGAATTAAGGTCTATTACTGTAAGCCTTAGCAGCGCTGAGGAAAAACTATTTTTATGTATCATCTCAGTGTAAAGTGTGTGAGTTTGACTGGCAGAGAAAATTAATTAATCCATACTGCAGAGCCAAACTAGCTGCCTAAAATTACATACATGTCCTGTCCCCTAACGGCCAAACAGTCCTTAATGCAGCTTTAACCAGTGCAGTGAGCAACTAGCAACTATCCCAGCATGGATTAGGTGAAAGTAAATAAAATCCCTACACAAGTTGCCAGCCTATCACAGTGAATGGAATTGATGCGCACATCCAAGAATGGCTGTGAAATTTTGGAATTAAAGCAGACCAACACCTATTTCCTGAGATGCAGTAATATTAACCTGCTATATTGTTGTTCAAATACATGCACAAATACTTACATTACACTTTAGGTATAGTGAGACTTTTGAAAATGGTTTTGAATTAACTTTTACTGAAAAAAATACTGGATACTGCATGAACACATCACTCTTACACATGTAGAGCCAAGAGTTGTGTGACTAGTAAGTAGTGATGTAATGCTGGATGCTGTGTCATTTGTAGTGCTTATAGGACTTAAAGGTATCGCAGATGAAATTGTTGAGGAGTATTATTACTCTAAGCTCAAATTTTTCCAGCTAACCTCTGGGTGCATATTAGCAAGCTTATAATCACAGCACACATGTCAAAGGAATTCTATCTCAGAGATGACAAATACTTAAATTAACTCTTATGGGGATGAGATGATGGTAAAATATATTTCATAAATACTTTTGTTTAGGACAAAACAATGTTGCTGTTGCCATCATGATGTTATTTGAAATAAAGCATAAGCAAATAAGTCAAACAAAGAGGACAAACTAGTAGTTGGCAAATCGAGAGCCTTTTATTGCATTCACATGTTTATGTGAAGGATGTTTTGTATTCAGATGTTGAGCCAGGTGTTGCCCCTCATGTTCCGTTGCAGGAGGTTATTTAGAGGTGCTATGGGAGGATACGACCTTTCCGTCCCTCAGTTCTTGTGTGACCACTAAGACCTTCGAACCGGACCTGCCACCACCACCCCCCATGTCACCACCAAAACTGGAAGGGTGGAGAAGTACAGTACTTGCATTAAAACCACATTAATATTCATTTATGATGAAAGGGCAGAGTTGTTTGTTACAGGTATGTTATCTTCCAAAGTATTATTTCTGCCTTCAGTTCATTATTACCTCACTTACCTGCCCTCTCCTTCCAGCAGCCTCCTGTATTCTGCAATCTCCATCTCCAGCCGTGTCTTGATGTCAAGCAACATTTGGTAGTCTTGGCTCTGGCGCTCCATGTCAGCTCGCAGCTGCATCAGTTGTTCTTCCAGGCTTGTCACCTGCATCTGGAAGTTTTGGAGCTTCGCAGAATATCGTGCCTCTGTGTCAGCTAAAGTTCCTTCCAGGGACGCTTTCTGGAGGACACAGGAGAAGAGAAGAGGGTCAGAGAGGAGGAACGCTTATTAAATTCTATGGGTAGCATAGGCAAAGGATGTAATGGGGAAAAAGAGCAGTTTTGCTCCACATCATTTTCATTTACCATGCTAAGTTGTGACTGTAGCTCAATCTCCAGAGCCTGCATTTGGCGACGAAGGTCAGTGATCTCTGTCTTGGATACTTGAAGGGATTCTGTGCTCTCTGCCACCTCCTTGTTCAGCGCCTCTGACTGCAGACAGAGGAGAACATGACTGCACACCCTTGCTCAAAAGTCTAATCATGCAATAAGCAATTACATAGTCAGTAAGTAACACCACCATGGTATTGGTCCAATCTTACCTTTGTTTGGAACCAGTTTTCAAGTTCTTTCTGATTTTTGATGGCCGCTGCCTCGTACTGGTCTCGTATCTCAGCCATAATAGCGCCCAGGTCTGCCTGTGGCTTGGCATCCACCTCCACATTAATCTGTCCGCTCATCTGGTTCCTCATTGCTGCTATTTCCTGTTGAATAAACAGTTTGTTAAGAGCTGGATATCTGAGAAGTTTTTTTTTTCTACACTGGAGACTGCAAATGAATTGCAATACAGATTCATTCAGATGACTGTTTGTTACCTCCTCATGGTTCTTCCTGAGGAAGATCAGCTCCTCCTTGAGGCCTTCTATCTGCATCTCCAGGTCTGATCTGCTCAGTGTCAGCTCATCCAGCAGTCTCTTTAGACCGGCGATATCTGCTTCCACTGATTGACGCATGGCCAGCTCATTCTCATACCTGTGAAGCAGCAAGAGATCAGGCGTTTGCACCTCAACATCAGTGCATAAACTATGCAAATCGTGCTGCTTCAGGTAACAGTCTGAGTGTTTTCATTTCACTTTTAGACACTTTGTCTCTCATGCTGATGCTTACTTGTTTCTGAAGTCGTCTGCCGCTAGTTTTGCGTTGTCAATGGACAGATAGATTCCACCATTGATACGAGTGGCTTCCTGGATCTGTGATTGAGACATTTTTCATGTTACATAATTCTTTCTCCAACTGCAAACAGACACTGCAAACATTAAATATGCTGTCAACAACACTTCAGAGTAACATTGCATGCAACACATGAACAGTCACTGTTGACAAAATCATGCATATGCATTGCCTCTGGACTAAATTTAAGCTGCAATGCATAATTTTAGACATATTCATCTGATAGATGCATTGCATAATAAATTGCAGTGTAACATTCAGGACTCAGAAGTCATGGGGCATACCTTTCCCTGCAGGTCAGCAATGGTTTTCCAATAGGCAGAGTAGTCACGGGCAGTTGGGGAGGTCTTACTCTCCAGGAACTCACGGATCTTCTGTTCAAGTTCAGCGTTATCTTTCTCAAGTTTGCGCACTTTCTCCAGGTAGCTGGCCAGACGGTCATTCAGGTTCTGCATGGTGGCCTTCTCGTTGGTCCCAACTTCTATGGCATCGCCTGCACCAAAGCCTCCGCCAAATCCTCCGCCAAATCCTCCACCAAATCCTCCACCAAATCCTCCACCTCCTCCCATGCCATACTCAAAACCACGTCCTCCAGAGGAAACAGAGATTCTTCCTCCAGAGCCAGCACCATGCACACTTGAGGCATATCCCCTTCGTACCGTGCCTCCACTGCCACCTCCGAAGGTGGAAAAACTACTTACACTGCGTCTTGACATTGTGAGAACTGGAGGTCTGCCTGCCCTGGAGAAAAGAAGTTAGACTGAGATGCACAGAGCTGCCTCTGTCTCCTTTTTATCCTGTGGAAGACTGCTGCTACCTGCTGAAGGGAGGAGCATTACCTATTAGGGGGACTCAGCCACACCCTTCACATACAACTTCGGATTCTTTTCTTTTTTTTTTTTGTTGGAGCATTAAGAAGGAGAAAGTAGGAATAACCTTAATTCTGTTTTGTCAGGCAATTTACTGAATTCAAGTGAACCTCATAACTACCTGCAAACCTCATATAAAACATAATAGTTTCATTAATCCAGTTAACTTTTTATTCCCATGTTCTTTAGTAATGTGCATGAACACCAGGCATTCATGTAAACTTTATCTGTTACTTCTACAATGCACAATGTAAGATGTAAAACAGCCACACCTGCTACCGTAAGCCTCAGGTTGGTTATTCAATCAAATTGAACTGGTTTTAAAGTTTGTCACTGCTCCGACAGGTGATATGTCTGTCCTTAATGAACTTCTTCCATGCTTCTTGAGCAAGACTGCCATAGTGTGCTGAACAAACCTGTTGGGTCACCAAAGTAGCCTGCAGCACAGTAAACACTGTAAAATGAATCATTATGAGAGAGGTTGTTTTTCACTTGACTCTCAGCCAGCACAATTCCTCACAGACACCTCAGTGTCATCTTTCTCTGTGTTATCTTGCATGAGAATCTTCTTTTAATTATTGGTTCTTTTGTTATTTGCAGTCACAGTCATTTTTCAAATCTTATACTTTAGATGTTATACATTATACATGTTGACAGTCCTGCAGGCTCAACAGTAGCCTGCAGTGGAAAGCTCACCTCAGTGTGTCCTGGAGTTCTTTGGCGTTTTTTACTTTGGCATGTGAATCATGCCCAAGCAAGAGCGAGCTTGTTTGCTTCTTTTCATTTTACCACAGTATTCCTGTTACAGTGTCCCAGAGCCTTTTTCTCAACTGTTTCTCAGCAGGCATGTGCAAGGTTGAGTTAATTACATTTGAAAATGCACTCATTTAAGCCTATATTGCGATCTTGGATTTATTTTCAAATACTCACCATTTTCCAAATGAATTATTTCAGACATTTTGCTTGTGGTTAAATTTAAGAGTGCTTTTACATCTAACAAGTGACTATTGCAGACTATGCACACAAAGCTTTTAGCAATACAAACCAGATTTGTTTCACTGCTTCATTTTGAGGTTGCAAACTCGTCTCATGCATGTGCACAACTTTATATTATATCCAAGATACTGATTACTTTGAAACCTCGGTAATATATGAGTGAAGATCATTTTGGAGACAGCGTGCTCAACACACCAACCTCATCAGTGGGGGAAGAAGTACTCAGATTGTTAACTGAAGTAAAAGTACAAAAGAATTAGCATAAAATATACTTAAATTACTAAAGGTAAAAATACCCATTTTGCAGAATGGGACAGTTTGCATTAATGTATATCATATTATTGAACTATAATACTGATGTATTATTGTGCACATCATATTTAATGTTACAGCTGGTAAAGTCAGAGCGAATGCTAACTGCCTTATATGCTACCACTGGGCAGTTTGTGGATTTCCCACCAGGGAACAATGCAGTCTTGTGATTATCCTGCATCAATGGGCAGTGGTTAGCACCATTGCCTCACAGTGAGAAGGTTCCGGGTTCGGGCCCCACCTGGGACCTTTCTGTGTGGAGTTTGCATGTTCTCCCCGTGCTTGCGTGGGTTCCCTCCGGGTACTCCGGCTTCCTCCCACAGTCCAAAGACATGCAGCTTAGGTTGATTGGTGTCTCTAAATCCTCCATAGGAGTGCGTGTGTGGTTGTTTGTCTATGTGTTAGCCCTGCGATGGATTGGCGACGTGTCCAGGGTGTACCCCGCCTTTGCCCGATTGCCGGCTGGGATTGGCTCCGCACCCGTGACCCCGTAAGGGATTAAACGGTAGAAAATGAATGAATAAAAAGAACAATATTTTTCTGTAAAATATAATGAAGTCAAAGTGTGAAGTAGCAGAAAATGAAAAGACTCAAGTAAAGCACAGATACCTCAGAATTGTGCTTAAGTACAGTATTTGAGTAAATGTGCGTTACGTTCCACCTCTGGTTCTTATATACACTGTACTGTGTAGCTTGGTTGTTTATAGTTTCACCACTCCAGATGTCCATGCTCTTTCTTTTTAGATTTCTTCATGTCGCCTACATGTATTCTGCAGTGCAGAAATGCAGATTAGAAACTTAATGTTTAATAAGTCACCAAAACAGTAAAAGAGTTTCTCTTTTGTATTTACAGATGAGCACATTTACTGTATGCTTAATATCAAGAACAGGATGAGGAATATGAAGAGGTGACTGCCACTAGTAGTTTGCACAATTTGACATACTTAGCTTGCCGTCCGGCTATCTAAATATGAATCCTTTCAGCTACCAACGCAGCCAAGTGTTAGTGTAAATGTGAGTGTACAATCTGGTTTGTGTGCATTTTTCTATCTGTGCATTAGTATAGTATAATGTGGCACTGGTGGTGACTTTCAATCAAAGTAGTATGTTCAGTATAGTTTGGTCAAACATTAGAAGAAATTTTATATTAATTGGTTGTTTGCAAAACTGATGTAAAGCATGGCCGAGCCTGTTTTCCTCTGGCTGCAGACAAAGATTGCATCAGCCCGGATATCACATACTAGTAAAAAGGTGTCTCCCAGTAGCTTGTTCTCTGTTCTCACTTCTCTGCAAGTCAGAACTGATTCAGTTGCAAAACTTAACTGAGATTAACTTTGCTTTCCTTTTCCTAAAATGAAATTTGTGTTGTGCAGACATTCCTAGTTCTCAGATGAACATGTCCCGTGTACTTTGGTTTGACTACGTGAAAAGTAAAAAGTAAAAAAATGACCACTCTGCTTAACTACAGCTTCACAGAGCCAGTAGCATGGCTGTTTTTTGTGTTATTAAAAGTTATTATACTCTGGCCTGAAACCCTTTTAAATATGCTGTTTGTTCATATAGTTACTCTAGACGACATAGCCCTGGCCTCCAGTACTACTGTGAGGAATCTTGGAGTCATTTTTGATCAGAATATGTCCTTTAAATCACACATAAACCAAGTCTCTAGATCTGCCTTCTTTCACCTGTACAATATTGCACAAATCAGGAGCATCCTGTCTCAAAGTGATGCTGAAAAACTGGTCCATGCATTTGTTACTTCCAGGCTGGACTACTGTAACTCTTTACTATCAGGATGTCCCAATAATTCCCTAAAAAGCCTCCAGTTAATCCAAAGTGCTGCAGCCAGAGTACTGACAGGAACTAGCAAGAGAGATCATATCGCTCCCATATTAGCTTCTCTCCACTGGCTCCCTGTAAAATTCAGAATAGAATTTAAAATCCTTTTCCTAACATACAAAGCCCTTAATGACAAGGCTCCATCGTATCTTAAAGACCTCGTAGAGCCTTATCATCCTAACAGAGCACTTCGCTCTCAGAGTGCAGGTTTACTTGTGGTTCCTAGAGTCCACAGAAGCAGAATGGGAGGCAGAGCCTTTAGCTATCAAGCTCCTCTCCTATGGAACCAACTCCCAGTCTCAGTTCGGGAGGCGGACACCCTCTCTACCTTTAAGATTAGACTTAAGACGTTCCTTTTTGATAAAGCTTATAGTTAGGTTAATATAACAATGTTGTTTTTCAATATAATCCTAGTAGGACAATGAGGGAGGGTAGAAAGGTACTTACAGTAGTTTGTTGTGATATGTCTTTTGACATTTCATGGCATCAGAAAAACTAATGTGGCTGGACAGGGATAAAACTGACAGTCCTCTTGGTAACTGCAAGCAAACAGGGGGCCTGGGCCATAAAGCATATTTAACTGTACCAGTGGTTTCTAGTCAACAGGAAGGCCTTAGCTTGGGCCCATGTAGTGGTGCCTATGAAATTACTGGACATGTATTCTAGGATAAGTTTGGTTTGGTGTAACACCCCTTAGTTATAGTCTGAGGGCCGTCCCATGATACAGAGCTCCTCTCCTCTCCTCCCACCTCCCCTCTCCATTTTATTGTTATCTTTATATTCCTAATGTGGCTGAACAGGTCATTAACGTTGTGTCTCCTCTCTCCCGTAGTGTGTCCTCTCTCTCTCCCTGTACCTTTCTGCAGGTTACCCTGACTCTGGAGCTCTACGTCTCTGATGAGCAGTCACCAGCCGCATCAACCTGCCCAGTGTTTGATTGTTTGTTATCGTTTCTTGTTGCTTTTCTTTTCTTTTGTCTCTCCTCTATCCACTCACCCCAGCTGGTCAAGGCAGAAGGCCGCCCACCAAGAGTCGGGGTCTGTCGGAGGTTTCTTCCGTTAAAGGGAGTTTTTTCCTCCCCACTGTCGCCAAGTGCTGCTCAAGGGGGATTTGTAGGGCTTTTCCTCTATAATATCAATAATACTTGGTAAAGTGTCCTGAGAGGACTTTTGTTGTGATTTGTACTATACAACTATAACTATACAACTAACTATACAAACTGAATTGAATTGCGTTTGCAATAACTGAATTTGTAGAAGGTGTTACTAGTGCCTGGGACAACAAGAAACAAACATTGGGGATTTTTATTGATTTTCAAAAGGCTTTTGATACTATTAATTTTGAAATTTTACTTGACAAATTAGAAAGGTATGGTATTAGAGGTTTGGTGTTGAAATGGATAAAAAGTTATTTGACCAACAGACGGCAATTTGTAAGTCTGGGCGAGCACCAATCAGATTTTCTGGATATAGTATGTGGAGTCCCACAGGGGTCAGTTTTGGGTCCTAAACTTTTCATACTGTATATTAACGATATATGCAATGTTTCTGAATTATTGAACTTTGTACTATTCACTGATGATACTACTATATGGGCCTCTGGGGAAGACCTACAGCAACTTTTGGGTCTGATTACTGTGGAATTGGACAAGGTGAAGAAATGGTGTGACAGGAATAAGTTATCACTAAATCTGGACAAAACAAAATTCATGCTGTTTGGATATGGAAGATTAAAATCGTCAGATCCAAGTAAGGGTGGGGGATGCCAATATAGAAAGAGTTTACGAAACAAAATTTCTAGGCATAAATATTGATGATAAAATCTGTTGGAAACCTCATATTAAATATATACATAATAAATTGGCTAAAAGTATATCTATATTGGCAAGAGTTAAAAATATTGTGGATCAGAAGTCACTCCATACTCTTTACTGTTTGTACCTTATTTGGACTACTGTGTTGAGTGTTGGGGAAATACATACAAAAGCGCATTATGCTCATTATTTAAACTACAGAAAAGGGCCATTAGAATTGTTCATGGACTTGGTTATATGGATCATACGAATTCATCATTTGCACATTCAGGATTTTTTAAATTTTTTGATTTAGTAAAATATAAATCTGCTGTATTTATGTTTAAAGTCAGATATAATTTGGTGCCAAGTGGTATTCGGGGTCTGTTTGGTGATCGAGAGGGTGGATATGGATTGGGGGCCACTTAAATTTAAAAACTCAGGCCATACGTACAACTAGGAAAAGTTTTTGTATATCTGTGAGTGGTGTAAAATTATGGAATAGCTTGGTGGTGGTTGCGGGAATTTAACCAGTGTAGTTGTTTAGTTAAATATTTGGGTTGTGTCAACCATAGTTTGGATCACTAGGGGTAGAACTAGATAAGTATTACTTCTTTCTACTCCCTTGCAAGCATGTAATGACTAAGCATCATCAAGAGAAATTTCTATTTTTTTGGTTGTATATGGTAATTGGTTTGGTTGTTTTGTGTTACATGTTGATTTCTTTTATTTATTTATTTATTTATTTATTTTTCTCTCTGTTTTATTACATGCTTGGAATTAATTAATAATAAAAAAAATGCTTACGTTAACTTTTATGTATCAGTATCACGGTGTGAACTGAACTGTTGCAGGAGTTTGAATTTTTTTGACGTGTTAGTAGAGCCTGTGCTATTAAAAGTACTGTAGCCATCTCAACTGCTAACCATTAAAAAAAAATAAAAACTATGCAATGTACTAGAGATCAGTGTCCTACAGGCCAGATTGTTGCAGTCAGTCGTTAAAAGCTGCACAGGCTTACTTTAGTGAAGTTTTAGACGGTTTGTACTTTGCCCTATTGTCCTGACATGTAGCTTGGAAAAAATATTACAGGGATTTCTGCATTTATTAAATTACATTAATTCCAGTAAAAAAAAAAAAAGCACACAAAACATCAAAATCCCCTTTTCAGTAAGAAGCAGGCTTACTAACTGCTTGAGGTGAGGGCACTTGACTGCCTGCTGCTTTAAGACTTTGCTCAGGAGCCTTCATATGAAACTAGTTGTGAGTATGTAGCAAGAAGCTGCTGCTGAAAGAGCATTAACATGCAAATAAAAAGTTCATAAAGTTGCAAATGTTTTCATTCACCAGCTCTGCAGTTATATTCAGAGTTCTTGGTTTTAGGATTTTTGAAGAAAATTCAAAAGTATTGCATATTTTTTTCATAGTGTTTTAACACTGCTTCATGTGTCCTACATGTCAGTAAGTTTCCTTGGTGTTGTCAACCTACCCTACACACTCTTTGTAGATTTAGACAAGTCAAGTTTATTTATATAGCCCATTTTCATACACAAAGGCAATTAACACAATGCACACAAATAGATGATACATTAGAGTGCAATTAGATTTAAAACAAATGCAAATTAAAAGCAACAATGACAGAGTAGCAAGAGGATAGCTGTGGCAGACTGTGGATTCTCACTGTTCTTATTAAGGTATTTGGGTTAATATATCAGCCTGAAAACAGACACTGTGCATCCTCCTGCTTTGACACAGAAAGCCTGTTGGAGCTGTGAACTGAGTGATTAATGGTGATAGTATGGGCCAAGGTGTGACTGTGGTTTCTGTTGAAAGCAGGTATGTAAGTATGTATGCATGGTTTTGGATTTCATAATCCTGCAAACCAGTGCATGCTCTATTTACTAAAAGGAATATTCTCCTTTTCAAGAACATTTAAATTAATTCCAACTTCACTGCAAACCTTCAAGGATTTGTATTGTATCCTGTATCTAGTGAATGGTAATCTGCTATACAATGCATACGGTGTGAGTGGGTGTTCGGTTTGCAGGACTTTTGCCAAGGAACAATTAATCTGTGTGAAAGTTTTATTGTGTCACACCCCAAACACTTTTCTGCTAAATGGAAGTACTTCTCAGTATCCAAAAAGCCCATTCAAGTTAAAGTATAAAGAGCCTGTGGCTACAACAGGAACACTATGTTTGAAATGTGCCTTGACTTGAGAAATAGCCCGGAGTGCTTTCACCTGGGCGTGAATCTGTCATATGTGAGCCAACACAAAAGAATATCTCACTCTCTATGTCTTGTAGGAGAGGCAGCAGGGGCTGTGATGACTCACTGCAGAATCAGGTGGTGTCTTCACAATGTGCTTCTCCCTTTGCATTTTTTAAACTCTATTTCAGGCCCAGACTGGTTTCTGTTGCATCTGGATATGCCCTGCAGTCAGTGGCCACACCCTGTACAACAAGGAGTTATTCAGCACCTCTGACATTCAGGTGCTTTCAGAGGTCTGAAAGTTACATAAAGAGAAATATGAACTCAGAACTTAACATAGTAAGATTCACTTTTTCTGTCACTGTCAGAGCAATGTATTAAATTAACTGCTTTATTGTCTCTTCAGTATTACCAGACATCTATGTGCACACAGCTAAACTCTTAGCTGCTTGTGGTCTGGTAATAATAGAGATAACTGCAGTCAGTTGAAGGGGAATAGCCTACAGTTCCTCATGTGAAGCACACAAACATGAACATGAAGTTTTTTTGTTTCTGTGAATGAAATATTTACAGAGTCAACAACAAAATGCACATGTGATTCTGGTCCTTTTTGCCTAAACTTGATATCTTGATAGACTGGTGACCTGCCCTGGGTGTACCCGCCTCTCAGCCAGTGTCAGCTGGGATTGCTCCAGCGCCCCATGCCCCTCTGCAGGATAAGCTGTAAAGTTAATGAATGCATGGATGGAATTATGTTGCACAAAGCTGCTGAAACAGCATGAATCACTAATTGCATTTAATAACACTGATGTTAAGTAGAAGTGTGGAGCACAAAAGCGGTGAAAGTCTTCATGATGACTCATTTTGACCAACACATTAATTCATTTAGCAGGTGAATCAGTGACACTTGGCTGAGTGGAAATCTCAAGTCTCGGCTTGATTCAGCTCCACCGAGATGAAAAGCCTTTGTTGACAGAGTGACCTGCAAACCTTGCCAAACTAAATCTGCACTTCTGAAATGCTTAGAGCACAAAGAGCTCTTTTATAATGTTAGGTATTTTCAGTCAGATAGAAATTGGATAGACACTTTATGTATTAGAAATGTTTAGTAGAGATAGGATGTCTAGTTAGACTGTTAAATGCTTAGTCATGCTTATGAGTTTCTACAGGGTACATCTGGTCAAGGATAACTAGAGAGAAGAGTTGATGACTGTCAGCAGACAGGGGGTTTAATATTATTATTATGACGTGTATAACTGTAGCCTTAGCCATAATATTTTCTTATGTTTAATGTCATGACATGTCACTAAAGGTCGTGTGAGAATGTTTTTATCTACGCACCACTTAATCAACAGACACACACACATTGACTTTCTTCATGTTTTGACTACTGTTATGACCAGCTGCAAAGCTGGCACCAGAGACGTCCCGGTTGATGTTTCTGTGTAGTATGGGGCTAGCCCAACCGAGGGGATATAATGTATAGGCCTGGTGGGTTCAGGGTCTTTCATCTTCAAGCTGCCTGCGTGCAGTTTGGAGGTGCAAGATACCTGAGCGTGTAATGTTAATTTTTACCTGTGTTTATGGAATAAATCAGCACTGTTTTGTAGTTACTTGGACAGCCTCGTCTCTCAGAGTCAGTATGGTAAAAAGTACCGGGTACAACAATAACATTTAGGGCATGTGCATCCTTCGGCCAAGCTTTCTGTTAAAATCCCTTCCAGTGGCATCGATGTGCTGCCTCCATTTTGCAGATCGTTGTTTATTGTTAGATGAATAAGTTAAAGTAGTAATATTTATAAAAGTTTCTTGCAGTGCAACAATGTGTTCCCACTTAAATAAGGTCATGGGATCCAGCAAGGTTGTGCAAGGACTCATAACACTTTTACCAAGACAAAGGTGACACCTAGTGGTCATAAGTGAAATTACATTCTAAATACTACACTGCACTTACAGTAAAATTGTTTGATTTTTCTTTATTGTTACAATTGTCACTGCACTATTCACACAAGACAAACACAGACACACCTTGAGCAAACAAAAACAGAGTTATCATATTAGAACTCACTGTGTTATTTGTACAAAAAGTCATGTTGTTCTACAACTAGGTTACATCTATGATTCAATTATGCTTTGAAAAGACTATGTTCAACCTGTAATCCACCTTTTTGATTTGTAATACACTTGTAATTGCATATTTACAATTGGGGCACACATCTATATCTTTATTTTCTTACTTTTAATCATATGTTTGTCTCTTACATATCAATTCACCACGGAAAGGTCACGTTTGCTCAGTTTTGCTACATAACTGTAATCAAAGAAAACAAAAACAAAAAAAAATACCAAGGAAATCCCCTTAAGAAACAGAGGTGTTTGAAATTTTTTGTAAACAGCAAAACTTGAAATTGAAAGAGCATTTTGAAACTGTTGGTAACAACTGATTCTCAGAAAATAGTATTATTAAGTATGATAGGAGTTTATTGATGATTTAGGGGCCAAATTATCAAAACGTCTTGGTTTCATGGAGCAGAGGCGTTACTGGATGTCCTGTACTTTGGTGTCAACCGAGGTGGCCACCACTTCTCCATTAACAACCTCCCCCACAATGGTCTTCACTCTCCTCTCGACGTGGGGTTTATGTTCTGCAGCGGTGAACAACAAACATATCACATCACAGTGAAGGACCATAACGATAACATCACATTAGAAGATCACAGTGCTGGTTTAGTGAATGACTCTTACCCTCCACTGTTTTTTCTTGGGTCACCTTGCTGATGAGCCATTGCCTGTGGACAGAATGAACATTATTTAAACCATATTTTATTGCTTCAGATGTTGTCCTGTTTCCAGATTAAACACTTATATTTCTCACTTTTTTTGTCCGTACTCGCCCTCCAGCAGCCTCCTGTACTCTGCGATTTCCAGCTCCAGCCTCATCTTGATGTCCAGCAGCAGGCTGTACTCGGCTTGCTGCTGCTGGATTGAAGCTCGCAGCTGCTGCAGCTCTATCTCCAGGGTGTTGATGATCATCTGCTGCTGGCTGAGCTGACTGTTGTATCGATCGTTCACCTCCTCCAGATTCTGCTGCAGGCACTGAATCTACAGTACAGGGAATGACGTTAGGAAATGTGTGTGTGTGTGTGTGTGGGTCTGAAGGGAAACTTTAATTTCATGAGGTATCGTCACAATTCAAATGTAAGCTAAGTATGATGCACTAGCTCTAGTGCAGCCTACCTCTTTGAGGACACTTTGCAGACTTATCTCCAAACTCTGGTAGGTCCTCTTCAGCTCTGACAGCTGCATGTGATGTGTCTTCACCTCTGTTGTGTGACTAACGATTTGCGTCTGGAGACCCTCCAGCTATTTACACACACAAATATTACAAATAATACAATATCTTGACTTGCCACCTGTAACTCTTTTCATCATACTTTTCATTTGAGTGATTTTGCCCTCTAGCTGCTGACCTTCAGTTTAAACCATTTCTCAGCTTCCTGCTTGTTCGATAGCACCACAGCTTCATACCGCTCCCTCATCTCCTCCAGGATCTTTATCAGATCAGCAGATTCTTTACTGTCCACCTCTACATTCACAGTATTAGTTTGCTGGCTCCTCAGCTGACGCATCTCCTGCAACACAGGAAAACGACAGAACATTTTATTCTGCTGCCCCTCCATAGTTATGGGTGTCATGGCTGGTACCACCAACAGATGGCGCCGCTGCACTTGAAAAGAACGCAAACGATGAATCACGCAATATGTTCAAACCAAAAACATAGTAACAGTAAATTCCTCTGCAACAGAAAGGTCCTCACCTCCTCGTGGTTCTTCTTCAGGTACACCAGCTCCTCTTTCAGACCTTGTATCTGCATCTCCAGGTCACTGATGCTAAGAGTCAAGTTGTCCCGGACCCCCCGGAGACGAGACACATCGCCCTCCACCATCGTACGCATGCTCAGCTCGGCCTCATATCTACAAAAGGTCAGGTGGAGGTGCAAAGCGTGCATTGTGCATTGCTGTTTAGTGAACCTCATCACTGGGGACTGTTACAGTTTTAACAAAATCACATCATAGTTAACAAAGAAATGCCAGAATCACTTTTGTGCTGTCTCAGTAAATGTCACTGCAAGTAGGTTACATAAAACCATCACTGTGTGGGTGGGTGGGTGTGTGTGTGTGGGGGGGGGGTTACAGCATGTGGAAACAGAGGAGAGTGTAAACCTACTTCATTTTAAAGTCATCTGCAGCCAGCTGAGCGTTGTCAATCCTCAGGATGATATTTTGATTCTCTGACACTCTCTTAGCAATCTGAATGTGACAAATGGAAAATTATACCATTATATATTCTATAGTAGCTATAACAGTATTTATTATTAATCAAAAATGTGTTTATTATTCAGATTTCAAAAACTTGCAGTAGTTTCATTTTGCTGGGATGTTGTGTTTCTAATGGGTTTAGCAGAGTTTATGTGGAGTTAAAACCCATCTGTGGCTGTTTTGTGAGCGCTCTCTCAGTTGTTTGAATATGAGAAATGTGTGTTCACTTGTGATGCAGTGGCTTTGCCAGTTTATTTCTGTAGGATTTAGCAGCACACTTGTCCACACTGGCCTGTTTGGGGTCAAGTAAAAATCTGCTGTTGGGCCTCTGTTGAGCATCGCCATCATCACTGTAGTCGTCATGATACATGTGAATGTTACACAATAGTTGTGTGTCTCTAAAATGGCATATTGTCACAGTGTGATGAACGTCACTGATCTCAAGCTGCACCAAAATTTCAGATCTTTCTAAACAGAGACAGCTAAAGCTGTTTTTGTTGTTTCCTGCAAAGCAAAAGGAGGCGGCAGACATGTTAATGGCTGCTAACCTATTAGATCATTGAGGAAATATGTCTCAAAGCATGAACATGAGGGAGGCATGCGTTCATTTTTGTTTTCATTCTAACATGCCATGTTGCATAAAATGTGAGGTACCTGAGCTTGGAGTTCACTGATGATGGCAAAGTAGCGAGTGAAGTCTCTGGAAGCAACTGATTTATTCGCATAGAACTCTCTGATCTGCAGCTCCAGCTTCCTGTTGGCCTCCTCCAGGGAGTGCACCTGTACACAGGACCAGACATGCATCACATCACACACCTGAGCATTTAGTTCACGCTTACAATATAAACCCTGGGTGGTTCAGTCTATATCTCTACAAGCAATGCCAAATTAATTCCACCTTTTATTTTTTTAGATTGGCTTTTTTTCTTAAGTTATTTCACATATTTCGTTATTGTTGCTTCTTGTTAGTGGCTGTTTTACGTTCTTCTAATAAAATCCATTGGCCTGCATCTTCTGTCAGTGTTGGAAAAAGTTGTTAGATCATTTATCAAGTACAAATAAAACACTCCATTATACATACAAAACTTTACTTACAACAGTGTTAGTAATTGTACCCAGTTGTGCTCTTAAAGTATGAGAGTGGTCCCTCAGGAGCCTATTATATGACAGGATTATTGTTAACAGCATCTTGGTTTTCACTTTGGACACAGTGGAGCTAACTCTATGTATGTGTTGTTTAACTTGTTTTAACGTATACATAGGCAGTAACAAATATTCACAGCATTGCTCTGGGAGTGCGTTTAAGTTTTTAAAGAAAGTACAGTGAGAATGTTGCAACCAAAAGTGAGCAGTAACCGAGAGGTAGCGTCTTCTTACCTTCTGCAGGTAGGAGGCCAGGCGGTCGTTGAGGTTCTGCATGGTCGCCTTCTCACTGGTGATCACTGCAGCATCGCCGTACGGGATGAGTAACCCGGAGGAAAAGCCCGAGGAGCTCTGGGAGATGCGGGTCCCGTAACCTCCCGCGCCCCCGTACACGCTGGGCGCACGGCTCTGGAAAGGGCCGTCGGCGGAGATGCGGGTTTGGTTGCCGAAAAACGGAGCCCCTCCGCTGGAGCCGGAGACGCTGCGGGAGCTGTAGCTGAGAGAGACAGGCATGGTGAGAGGTTGGAGCTGGCACAGGGCTGGTTGGAGCTGGAGTCTACAAGGAGTGCCTCTGTCTGAGACACCTGGGCATTTTATAGGAGTCTGAGGGCGGTCATATCCCTCAGACTGTGTGGCATGCAGGTCAAGTTTTACCTAATAGATGTGTATGTAGCTTTAGTGACGTGGTGTGGAAGACAGGTAGAATATCTAGTTGGGCTGCTGATGCCATGACTGATAACCAGACTGAGACTCATCAGCTGTGAGGGTAATTGTTTTTCTCCAGTCAGGTGCAGGTTTAAATGGAGTACACTCAGATATGTTACTGCGGCCTCTGGTGTCTGAGAGACTTTCTTTAATGAGAAACCGCTTCTGATAGAAGAAATAACACAATTTCCCTCACAAATGAAAAGATAAATTGAAAACAAGTGAAAACAAATGGCATAGTGTAACATATCTCACAGGAATTCAGTAAAATCAACGGATCTCTTTGGTTAACTTAATGGAAATGTTTACATTTAGTTTATTTCTGGTAAATGCAGCATTCTAGTTTTTATTCAGACATGAGTTGTTCTGACCAGAGATCTTTAACAAAGTCAGCTGTCTTCCATGTTATCTCTGGCACAAAATGGCTTCACCAGCTGCAGGTGTGCATTAAGTTCATCATTTCAAATGAAGAGCTGACTCTGAGAAACGTAAATGGAAATGAAATATCTCTGTAATGACTGTCTGTGTGACTAAACAGTAAATTCAACAATATCCTACATTCATTGATCTTGTTTGTTAAATCCACTTATTTTAACTCATTTCATTTTACATTTCCACAACTGAGTAAACAACTCAACCTCAGTGCAGTTAATCCACATTTTCAAGATTTTCTAGCACACTCATTTCACTACACTCAGGGATTTTACCACTAGAGCCTAACTTGATCTGGTACGACCAGAAATGAACAGGGGCATTTCAGTGTAACTGACATTACTGCACGGCGCTCCTGTCCTCAGGTGTATTCCACAGTTCTGTCTATCAGTGGTTTTCTGTTAGTAATTCTCCTTCTTTTTCTATTTTGATATAAGTAAAAATGTTTACATCAAACTCTCAACATTTGAGCTTTTTTTGTGGATTTTCCAAAGGATTAATAAAAATCAAGACTTTGTTGTTATTACAGCAGCACTGATGATACAGAAATGGTGGTTTTACTGACACCATACACAACCACAATTTCATTTATATTGTAATAAAGGACTCGTCGTAACTTTTCACAAACAGCCTAAGAAAAAAGACTTCAGTATGTGTGTGTCTGGACAGAAGTGAATGTGTGTGACAACAAACACAGAACAGTGATGAGCATCTGCTACAGTCCTCCCTGATAACGTGGGTGTGTGCGTTTGAATCTGACATGGGCATGAGGTCAGTGAGGAATGAGCTGTCTGCAGTATGCGGTGTGTCAGGTGTTTGTCACGTCAGTCTAGTAGGAGCATGAATGTCAAATCTTAAGATGTGATTATCTTTTAACCTTAGGATTGCGAGTTCATACAAAGTTCACACATAATGTTTAGGTTTAGTCATTAGAACATACTGAGGTACTGTCTGCAGAGGAGCATATGCGTCTACACTCTCTGCTCTCTGTTGTGCTGCTGTCCCTTAGCCACAGTTTGTCAAACAGGATACACAATAACTGGGACGCTTGTAGAAAATCTATACAGTCTCTGTCGTATTTTGACTAAAAGGCCATGTAGCACATTTGGAAAGTACAGGCCACAACAAGACATGACGGAGGCAACGGTCACCTCCACACAATCATTAAATTATGCACATGCTGCTTTGTTTCAAATCAGATTCATTATCCAGCTGTAGTTTCTTAAAAGCGATTGTCTACAGCCCATAATGTATTAGAATTAAAACACATGGACACTACAAGGAAGAGGAAAATCATTCATTCATGTGTCTTGTTCCACTATGTGAATCGTTAAAGTAAGTGTAAATGCTAATGTTTGGGTGCGTTTTCTGAAAACAGGATGAGGACACAGAACACTTTGTTTCCAGCCTAGTGTTTGGGCAGGGGCTGCACACTTACATCTAAAGGACTATTGGATTTCTTAAATAAACAGATTGACTTGTTTTATTGTTGCTGGAGTGCAAATAAGGCCTTTAAAGGTAAGTGAAATGCATAATAATGGGTTTGTCCATGTAGCAGTCCATCGTTTCCTTTACGCACATCCTCCTAGTTCATCCGTCTCCCAATCAATCCAAAGCTCCACAGTGAACACTGTTATCACTCTTAGGCGATATCAGCACCACCAAACTTGTATAAAAGGACCCAGAATCCCCAGATTTGCACCAGAAGCATCACATCTCTCTTGTTGTGAACATATCTCATCTTCTCCTCACAGGTACAGTAACATTGTTTTCTTGAGTAGTTTTATCTACTGTAATTCTAAATTTGATTTTATCAAATATCTTTCTGTCTTTGTGTGAACAGACATGCCAGGGAAGGTTATTGTGCTGTTTGCATTGTTGGCTGCACTGCTAGTGCCCAGTGTAGCCTCCTCACCCATGTCCTCAGCAGCTGGAGAGTCAAAAGAGACTAATCTACTACAGCAGCTTCTGGCCAAGAGAGAGAGAGTGAGCGGCTCAGCCAGCAGACAGGAGCCGGCGCCTCAGGCCGTCCCTGATCGGATGACGAGACAGACACACCTATCAGAGGACGAACGAGAGATTATGACCAAACAAATAATGCAAGCAATTTCAGGTATGCTGTGTGGTGCAAAAGTCATTTTCTGTTTTGTTTTGCTTTTTCATTTAAACAAATGAGTGGGCAGACATCCAAGGAGACGCTCACATCTGTGTCCTAAATCTCTGTTTCATGAAGGAATGGTCTGTTCACAGAGATGATGAACTCTGAGTGCATGTCATCTCAGGACTACCAGGGCTGGGTGGACTTTGGACGCAGAGATGCAGAATGACACACGACAGCCTGAGAGCTCACACTGCTTTTTGGTTCATTTTCTAAACAGGCAATAAATTAACTATTTTGCAGAATTATTACAACAGTCATGTGTTTATTCCACATCTGTTCATCTCTGTGCTGTGATTAGTGGACAGAGACATTTAAAGCTGTCCTGGATCAAAAAGTTTTATTCATAGATGGTACGACTTATACATACACCGACATACAGTACAGTACATAGCAGTGATGCTAACACAGACTACAGCAGACAGCAGTGCAGAGAACAGTGGCTTAGCTGATTAATGTCAAAGCACAAATGATTAAAACCAGTGTCGATGACTTCTTCCCTTTTGAATCCACAATATCCTATGCCTTTTTGCGTCATTTGATTGTTCTGACAGAAACATGCTGTTTAAATAATAATGACCACTCTATCCAACTTGTCTTTAAATAAGGACTCCCCTGACAATCATAGAGAATCCACTTTAAAATGCCCCAAACTATTTTGATTTCTTTTATATCCCAGAAGCTTCAAACTTCCTGATAACATGAAATAAAGCAGATTTGTACAAGCATGAACAGTAAATGCACATATTGCTTCTAAAATTCCCATTCACCGTCTTTGATGCAGCATTGCAAACCCAGTTTAGTTTCGCTGAGGTCCATGAATTGAGAAGCAGGTGAGGAACTGCAGGGCAACATCATTCAATTCAGTCAGTGTAACATCTGGCCCAGTTTGGAGCTGGTGTCATTGCATTGCTTCTCAGTGAGTTTCTCAAGTATTATTCACATGGATCTTATACACAACATGCTTTTCTTAATATAGCAGCCACTATGCAGGAAGACCAGAGTGTATTTTAGTGCATCTGAAAGATTTCAGTGTGACATTAGTTTGGTTTGTGGGTTTAAATAATAATTTACTGCACATAGTCTAGTTTAACTTTCCCAAATGACAACTTTCTTATATACACAGAAGTGATGCTTCACTTTGGAAACATTAAAAAAAAAGGAAAGTCGAGTGGCAGGAGTTTTAAAACCAGTGACAGGGAACACTGTAAAATTACATTCACAAAATACAATATAAAAGGTTTTTCTCTACGAGGTTTCTTTTTATGTAAAATAAGTAATGAGTGAGTCAAACAGACTGGTGATCAGTGATCAAGTGATTGTCCTGAGATGAAGATGTCACCCACACACAATGAATTTATCTACAGTACACAAATTCATAAAAAAACAGTACTGTATATGGCCAAAAACTCAAATATAGCTCTATATTTTGTGGTTTTTGTTTTTAGGATGCCAGTGCTGTGGTGATCACTTGGCCTGACGTCAAGTCACTACAGTGAATGAGAGAATACCTGGTGGATCAGGCCCCTCAGACTTTCGGAGGATGCCCAACTGCTTGTCTCTCTTTGCCATTATAACCCATCAGCCCCCAGGCTGCCACTCTGTGCAACCCAAGACTCTGAAGCTTCCCCACCAAGTTCAAACTGAAAATGTTCCTTCTTCTTTCTTTGTCTGCTGATGACCCTCCCCCTTTGTCTTTTTCTGTGGAGAATGAAGGTTTTATGCTATGGCTGTAAGATGCAGGTTGGTAGTATGAGTGCAGGTTGTGGTGGGGATACAGAGAGGCCGAGATGCCGTGCTCTTGCAGCAGCTGCAGGAGTCCCAGTGATGAACTGGTTATGTTTGTGGTCGTGGTGGAGGTGGTCTGGTCTCCCAGGCCAAAGTGCTGCTGGTGGGATGGAGACATGCTTACGTGCTCACAGTTCCGACAAGATGGCAGGCCGAAAGAGTGAAGGCTGTTGAGAGGAAAAAAGAATTAAAAAAAGGAAATATGATGCAAAAGATAAAAAAAAGAGCTTTGTTTTGCACAAACATGCCAGTTTGTATGCAAATAATAAAAAAACAACACAATGTAAATGTTTAGAGTTAATTTGTTATGAGTATCATCGCTGATGTTCGTATGGTTGATGAAACAGGATCTGGTGA